CCCCGCCAAGCCCTCAAGGTCCCCCACGCTGCCCTTTCAGCCCCCTCTGTTCGCCCCCCTGGGCGCTCAGCCCGACCCCGACCCCAGCCCTTGTATCAGGCCCGGGCTGCACTCACAAGAGGTCCCGCCTCGCGGTCTTGCAGACGATGCGCAGGAAACGCCAGCCGCCGCCGCCTACGTACACGCCGAGCGCCACCGCTGTGCTCCAGGTCCACGGCAGTCCGAGCAACCACAGCAGCACCAGTGAGGCCACGGAGGCCGAACCCGCACCTGGAGCCCGCATCCTGGGGAGACGGAGAGCTCTGAGGCCACGGCCCGCCCGGGCCCCGCCCCACGGCCAACCCAACCCCGCCCAGATGTCGCGCTCCGCTCCCGCTTGGAGCCGGGCCCCCCACCATACCTGGGATTGGGCATGTCTCAGACAGGCTCCGCCCCATCCCAAAGTGGGTACAGGCCTCCTTGCTCCTAGCCCGACCCAGGCTTTTCTGCCAATCATTAGTGTATCTCCACGCCCCGAGGCACAGCTCTTCCATTCTGTCAGTCACTGGCAAGCCCCATCCCATGCCTCGACTTAGCAGCTGTACGCTGGACCCAAGCTCCATCCTAACGACTTGGCCCCCAAGCCCAGAGTCCACCTTGGCCCCACCACAGACCTAGGTCCTGGGCTTTCCTCCAGGTCCCACCTCTATCCGCCACACCTCCACTCGCTTGACCCCGCCCCCAGGTTAGGTCTCCGGCCCCGCCCGTAAGCACAAGCCCCATTCCGGAGCCCCGCCGCCCTGGGCCAGGTTCTGCCCCTAGATTAGGCCTATGGCCCCGTCCACAAGCACACGCCGCACCCACTCTGGGCCAGGCCCAGAGTAGCTCAAGCTCCGCCCCCAGTCCTGGGCCTAGTCCGTATTCCCAGGCCCAAGTTCCACCCCGGTCACCGGCCCCGCCCTCAGGCTTTGGTCCAGTCACCACCCTCCGCCTCACTCCTAGCACCCTAGGCCCCGCCCCACCTGCCCTCCCAAGCCGGCTCTCTTCCGACCTGTCTGGCTTAGAACCGCGCTGCCGCACAGCCGCAGAGCCGACGCCCGCCCCTTTCCGGAGGCCACGACCATAGAGAGGCCACCCTGGCCAGAGTGACGACGGCCAACGAGACCCAGGGGCTAGAACGCCTGGCGAGGAAGGCGGCTGTCTCCATGACAACCAAACTTCGCCAGCCTCCCAGCTACCCCGTCCTATCCCTGCCGGCGATTAGGAAACACGTGCGTCCCTCAGCCAAGAGGCTTGGCTCCCGGGCACTCCTGGCCCAAGCCATAGCTGGAAACCAGAATTCCTACCCCGGGGGACTAGCAACTCTCAGTTCACATTCAGGGCCTACCTGTACTGGGTTCTTGCCCCAGTTTATTCTAAATCCAATCCCCAAAGGCTTCGGACTCCAGGGACCTGGGGAGTACTACACTCACAGCCTACGGCCCCAGAATACCCAACCCCTACCTCAGTCTTAAATATATATTCCAATGGACTTCCCTGGTGGCACAGTGGTTAAGTATCTGCCTGCCAGTTCAGTCGACACGGGTTCGAGCCCTGGTCCGGGAAAACCCCACATGCCGCGGAGCTGCTGAGCTTCTGCACCACAACTGCTGAGCCTGCGCTCTGGAGCCCGTGAGCCACGGCTACTGAGCCCACGTGACACAACTACTGAGGCCTGTGCGCCTAGAGCCCGTACTCCTCAGCAAGAGAAGCCACCGCAATGAGAAGCCCACGCACCACAGCAAGGAGTGGACCCCAGGTCCCAGCAACTAGGGAAAGCGCACGCTTAGCAACGGAGACCGAACGCAGCCAAAAATATAAATTAATTAATTAATTTTTTTCCAAAAAGATATATTCCAAGGACCCAACCAATCCCAAATCTATATCCCGAAATCTTGTCAGTTAAGTCTCACCGCAGCAGCCTAGGGAGGGCAAAATCCACACACCGGTTCCCCACCTTTCCACAGGAACTCCACAGAGTCCCTTATTTGCATCCCAAGGTCCTAAATGCTAACCTAGAGACCCTAAAGCCCTCCCCCTGATCAGGTGCGGGCCAGTGCTGGCCTCGCTGCCCACCACCCAGTTCCCTGGCTGATCTAGAGCCAGTCACAGACCCTCAGGCTTTGGCTGCTCTGTCGAGGGTTACCAGAGCTCAGGCAGTAGGTGGGCAGCGACAGTGAGTACAAGACAGAGGACTCCCCTCCGGGGCTTCTGCTTCTGCAGACTCCTGGGACCTGCCTTTCCTCTGCCCCTCTACTCACCCCACCCTGCTTGTTTTCTGCGCAGCTTGGCCGACCTTCTCAGCACTCTCCTTGGGAGGCGGCCAGGGCCTGCTTCCAGCACCATTTAGAGGACAGGACCGGGCAGGCGCTCCCCTCCACACACACACACACACACACACACACACACACACACACACAC